AATCAAAAGAGTGTATAAAAAGAAGTAATTTAGGTAGCAAGAGAGTAATCAAGAGAAAAAACAAGTAAACCAAAGTTTATATCAATAGTATTTCGTGTCCTTACAATTGATGAGATATCTCCCTTTTATAGATATCTTGGAGATATACGTTTTGCCCAAATCATAATGAGGTTATTATGAGTAATTAAAGACATTGAATTCTACGTTACATAATTATTATATTCAATACAAATTCTCTAACGTATTCCACATTTAATGTCTATTAAATGCCGTATCTGCACTCTTTTCTATTGTCAGATTCATTCCTTTTGATTCTCGAACATAAATGATTTAGATAGGTATGAGCGCTGGGTTATTTGTATACCTGTCCGTGCCTCTTCCTCTGCCATTTGCTCGTATCTGTTGCAACTCGTGCCTCTTGTCTAGTTGTAATTCTTTGATCATTTGACCAGTCTACGTGTTTCGACACGTCACCTTTATATTTAAATACAATTTTTCCCAATACACTCATGATGCATACAATGTTCAGTACCAAGGATAAAGCGTTAGGACTTTTTAATGGTTTCTAAGTTTGATATAGGGTATATCAAATAGTGTATCTACGGGATAACACATTTAGGAATCACCTATATAAGTGTGAAGTGTAAGCTGCTTCAAGGAGAATGTTGTAAGGTCAGTTCTCTACGCACTTATAAAACCAGGCGGTGTTCATGGCTGAAACGAACACAACAATGAGAACCAAAGACGGTTAAGGATTGATTGTGTGACATATAGTTGTCTAGGTATACACCAAAGTTCGACGGTTCAAAGATATCAAATCTACCGATTGATCGAGTATATCCGACATATGTTCACTATGGAAAGTTCAAAGGGAAACCTACTTATCCAGATGCGGTTAATCCTTACTTGCGAATCACACACAATTTTTCATATATTTTTGTTTCGGATAGCCATTCCCCATTCATGTGGGGGATTGTTGGGTTTTGTTATTAATAACAAAAGAAGGTGTGAATGGAAAATGGTGGGAAAAGAAATGGAGGGAAGTGGAATTTTGAATTAGTTCACTTTACTAATGCCCTTTGTCCCTCATTGGAAGAAGGAAAGAAAATCTTTGTGTATATATATAGAAGCTCATCTTCTAGCTCTTAAAGATTTAAGAAGAAGTGGTGCCTCGTGCACCCGTCGTCGTCGTCGCTCGCTTGGCTCGGCTTCGACTTCCGATTCGGATTTAGATTAGGCCAAAGATTGATTGATTAATCTTTTTGGACAAAATTCTTTTCAATTAATTAATTAAATTAATTAACGAAAATTCAATCCGGGTAACCCATGACCCGCGACCCGTCCGGTCCGTTTTCTTTCCCAGATTATTTTAAATCCGTTAGTTGTTTCCCGCGATTTCTTCCATCTGTTCCAACAGTTATGGCTGTTCTGAAAGGTTGCAAACCTTTTCAGAAACAGTGCCAGATTTGGCTATAAATAGAGGGTCTTAGCCTCATTTTCAACCACCGAAAAATCTGAAATCTCTCCCCTCAAACTTCTGCATTGTTTCCCAAAACCAAAAACGTAAGCATTTTGTGTGATTTGCTCCGTCATTTGAGTTCGACGAAATTCTATGATTTGAAGTGCCGCTATCACAGAATAGTTATTTCGTTCTATCCTGGGAGGAATTAATCCGCAACCTTAGGTAATGTGAAGGGATTAAATTCCTTAAGGAAACACAAGAAACTTGTGGGCTCGGAATTTTTTGCTTTTGTTTTTAAACTAAGTTTGTTCATTTACTGATTTTTGAATACAGAGTTCTAAGAGTTACTAGCGCACAATTACCTAAATATCATATTTTTAAAGTCTGATTTGAAATATACTTTAGACTTAACTCAACCTTGAAATTCATGTAGCGACAATTGTATCGGACCATATTAAGAGACTACGGCCATACCTTAATCAGTTGGTATTCTAATACCCTCTGTATGCTCATGGAGTGTGAATAACATATGGCAATCCAATATTGAGTAATTTATAAATATAAGAGATGGATCTAGCTCTAATTAATACCATTTTAAGAAGAAAAAAAAAAGAACTTAGACTAATTAATTCAACCTCAAAAGTTAGCACAAAAAAATACTACACCCCATACATCAGCCAATGTGTGAATGTGAAACTCTGAAATGTTCTTCAATGATTTGATCTGACATACTATTTCAACTTCATGTGCAATGTATTACAGTATTTAAGAAATTGGTGTCACTACCCAAGTTGTGAAATAAGAGTACGTAGCACACAACTAGAAAGGAGCAACAACAACTAATGGCTACACCACTCTTATCAGCCTGCTGAACGCTTAAATATGGCCACTTGCTATTTTTACTTATCCTTCTGATTCAATTCTGCAAGCACATGTTATACCTTCTTTTATTTTTCTTAAATTCTATGAACTTATCTCACATTTGAACTTAAGAAGATCTGGCATTCTCTAGGAAGACGGACATGACTACGTTGATTTTTATTAATTTAGAGTAGTCTTCAAAAGTTTTAACGTCAAAGGGCTAAATATACCCCTCTACTTTCAAATATTGTTTATCTATACCCTTTATTATATTATTGGGTTATTCATACCCCTACCGTCATACTTTGGAACAAAAATACCCCTATTGTCATACTTTGAAATAAAAATACCCCTATTTTGGATGGAGTGCACCGTGACAATACCAGATTAAAGTATGACAATAGGAGTATTTTTATTCCAAAGTATAACGATAGGGGTATGGATAGCCCAATAGTATAACGAAGGGTACATGTAAATAATATTTGAAAGTAGGGAGGTATATTTAACCCTTTTCGGAAGCTTAAACCAACATAATGCTTAATGTTACATGAACGTAAATCCTTGTGATTAGGACATGTGATTTTTTAGCAGCACCTAACTTTAGCTTCAATTATCCATAATAAGGCACCAAGAACATACTAACCTCCTTGACAGACTCGGATAGTTTCACATAATCCATTGCATTTCAATGTTTATAATTACACATTTTAGTGATACCATAAGTTTAAGACAATGCACTGTATGTGGAGTCTATTACTCAGATGGTCACTCAACTATCCGAAAGTATCAAACAAAGTCATGTTTTTTTTTTGTAAAAAATCATTTAACTATGTCTATAGTATTCATAAGATCACTCTATTACAAACAAACAAAAAGTATGACTTTACTAGGTAATTTCGAATAGTTGAATGACCATTTGAGTAATGTTATATCGTAAAAAAATGGTGAAAATATCACGGGCTAGCCAGTTTTCGGACTGGTAATTAAAAAATAGCCAACGTTTGCAAAGTCATTGAAAAATAGTCACTATTTTGCCGCAACACGGAAAGTTCCAGCATAATATACTGGAGATTGATACACCTGTGTATGCACTTCCACCATATTATGCTGGAACTCCAACACACGGAAAGTTGCAGCATACTGGAGATTGGAGCACCTGTGTATGAACTTCCAACATATTATACTGGAACTCCAGTATATTATGCTGGAAGTCGAGTATATTATGCTGGAACTCCAGTATATTCTGGAAGTCCAATATAACATAATATACTCCAGTATATCATGCTGGAATATTTTTCGGATTTTGAATAGTGTTTTCATTCAAATTTATCTTTATATGAAAAGTGGCTAAATTTCGATTACTTTTAAAGTTATGGCTATTTTTCAATTACCACTTATAAATCTGGCTATTTTTTAATTTCGCCCAAAAGAAAATGTTTGCCTAAATGAACAATATAAAGATAGTCTCTAGCTAACATAGCGGAAGCTTCTGTCTTTTTTCTGCTGGGAAGTGAAAGTTAGGTTTCTTGGTGTATAATCAAAAGTGGGATGCCCTCAGAAATCAGAAATCATATAATTCTCTTATCTCTATATTCGCTTAGTGTGAATCCTTGGATTAAAGCATTACATTTCTACTGTATACATTTTCCATCTCAGAATCTCTTCTTGCGATTAAAAGGCCTAAATTCATTAGGGACCACGCACTGCTGGTCCAGATTGTGATTCTAACAACATACTGTTTGATGAATTTGATTTTGATTACAACTACAGGTGCTAATTGATCAATGCTGATACTTTGAGTGCGTCACTTCAGTTATTTTTTCCCTGTATTATATTCTTGGCTCCTATTGTCAAATTACTTAACTAACACCAGTAAATATGGGAAGGGCCAAATCTAGACTCTAAATTAAGTAGTAAACAGTGAGGTCCCCATTGGCTGATTTGCATGAAAATGAGTAAAAGAAAGTATAGGAAGTGTTCTCGCATAGACAAATCAATTACTCCTATAAAGTAAAAAAAAGGATATCTCACTTTACTATAAACTTGGTGACCCACTCCCCCCATGCGAGACCGGAGACCGTCGGCCAGTCCTTCAATTGTTAATACTTAGTACTCATATGCGTTGACGGAGGCAGGATCTCCGCGAAGGAATTAAAAAGAAAAAAGTTAAAAAAGATTATAGCTAGAGAGAATTGAACATGACCTTACAATGGTTTTTAACCCCTTTAACGAATAAGCTACACTTTTGGGCTGGATTCAAAAATTAATATATAGAGGTAAAAAAAAAAGATTACCTTATATACAGTGTAATTTTTTGGCGAAGGAGATTCGAGTGAACCCTTCCGCGCCTAAATCCGCCCCTGCTCACATACGATAATTACATCAGATCAAATAAATTAACCAGCCACAAGTTAAAGTAAGAATATGTATCACTTAAGTACATGATTAAATAATAAGGTAAAAAATATGTATACAAAATACTGTGTATGATTTTTCCTTCACCCCACATCCTCTAACATTTCCTTCCTTTTTTGGCTTTTGGACATAACGAACTTTAACTTTTCCACATTATATATTCATGTAAAGCAAATGGAAATCTTTCATGAAAGATCAATAATTAGAGCAACATAGGATTGCCTATATTAGTCTGCTATATCATGGCCATGAAATACTCCTTTCTCCTTACTCATGAAATAATCTGAAGCTAACTCACTTGGCAATTAAGAACATAGAGTTATGGGTGGTGATGGTGCTATACGCAGGGTTAATGGTATGAAGGCTTTCTTGGGGTTTCTTCTTTTACTTAGTTTACTATGGCTTGTATTCAATGGGAGTCTAGCCAAGCAGGCAACAGCTTCCACCAAAACAATCAATCATTTAGATGTTTGGAAGACAATACAAACTGAAAGACATTATCTTCAAAAGAATTCAAATCTCAATTATGCGAGCGGAAGAAGAGCGTCTACTGGACTCAACGCTATTCGGAACAGGTATTCTCTCTCTATATATATATGCGCATTAGTATCACTTGCATGCAAAAACATTAGAAATGTATTTTTAGTTGTAGTATATTTTCTAGTATACCTTATATCCTAGCAGCCGTGTGACCTAGAAGTCATAAGCTCAAGCCGTGAAAACAGCCTCTTCCAAAAATATAAGGTAAGGGTTTGTAAAATAGACCCAATATGGTCTGGCCTTTCTCCGGAACCTGTTTATTGGTGGAGCTTAGTGCACCGCACTGCCTATTTTACTTGTAATATTAATCTTGATAGTATACTCTATCAATATATAGACGTTAAACATTTTATGTATATTCTTGGTTTTTTCAGGGAAGCAGGGAAGGCAGCCAGGGCTGCAACCAAAATAGTCGACGATAGGGCAATCAAACCTTTAGATGTTTGGAAGATAATAGAAGCTGAGAGGCAATATCTTGAAAGGAATCCAAATGTCAATTATGTGAGCAAAAGAAGAGTGCCTACTGGACCAAATGCCATACACAATAGGTATATACTGTTCTACATATGCATTAGTATGTTACAAATGAGACAAACTTACGTTATAGTTTATGATGTTTATTTATGTTTCTTGGTTTTCAGGAAAATAGGGAAGTATAGGGAGCCACCAACTCGAGCTTGAGCTTAAGAAAACAATTGAAAGTACTCTAGTAGAGTAACAAGATCCTTCAACAATATTTACAACATACAAACAGTGATCACAAGTAGGTGTTTCCTTAGAATGTACTAGTAGCTCTGCATCTATAGGCAGACAGATGCGGATGTAGCCTTATTTAAGTTGTTTAGCTAAATCAGTATAATTTCGACAGTGAATATAAATATATGTGAAAATAAGCGAAATTTTAACAAATATTAAATTTTGAAATCATAATTTTAAAAGTGCAATGAATTAAAATCCATAAAATTTAAATTATGGATCTATATGTGCTTAGGACTTCCGAGATATTGTTTGTAGAGAAGTAGAATGAAATCCTAAGGAGATTTAAATTAACGAGGGAAAGTAAATTGGAAAGTAAAACTTTTCAAGACTTATGAAAGATGAAAGTAGGATGTGATTTGATTGTATGTGCTACCCACTTTTTTGTTCCTTTTTACTCGCTCCATGCCATGTCTGTGCCAAAAAGAATGACTAATTTCCCTTTATGCAATGATTTATAACCATACAAAATATATGTGTTTTATTTTATACTACAAGTTCAAAAATCTTCTCTCTTTTCTTAAATTTTGTACCCAGTCAAATAGGTTGAAATAAATTGAAACGAGGGAGTAGTATTTTAGGAGGGTGTCATTTATAATTTGGACACTGCAAAAGATAGACAGAAATTATGGATAAATGCATGAAAAATGGGGAGTTTCCAAGATATTAATTTGTTTTGGGGAGTCTTTCTTGAATGATTATGTTGGCACTTTTAACGATTCAAAGGAACAAGTAGTTTTTGCTTCTGGTTTGAGTGGAATTATTTTTTTCTTTAAGTAGCAAATATCACAAGGTAAAGCTAAGCTCCTAAACAAGACTCAGTTAAAGTTTACTTTTGTCCAACATTTTTAGCCGTGACTGGTGCCCAGTAAACTGCAATTATTAGATTTAATCATCACTTAGCTTAATGTTTCAATTTTCGGTGGCATTCTAGATGTTCAAAAAGTTGGTCAGTGTTCAAAAGGTAGAATTCTGGTTTTTGAAAGAGAATAAAGATTAATCATAAAAAAAGAAGATTAGCATATGCACATGCATGATCATAACCTCCACTCAATCCCTTCCCTGAGTTATTTTAACCATTACATCCACGGACAATCAAGTGGTCAAAAGTCTACCATTCACATTGCAATTTCACGAGTTTAATAATGTCAAAAAAATTCTTTGGTTCGGGTGAAATCCGGAGATCTACGAAGGAAGGGGTCTTCGACAGGGGTGAAGTCGTAACAAGGTAGCCGTAGGGGAACCTGTGGCTGGATTGAATCTTTCGCGATGGAAATATGACCAATCTACATAAGATTTCGCACTCACTTGTTAGCTATGTGAAAACAAATATTGATGAAAAAAGTTTATATCTTTAATAAGTTGCCATTTGGTCAAAATTCGATTAAACCTAAGGCTGAAATATATTATGAGACATGTGATTTGTGTTCGTGAAAAGTCGCAACACTGAGTCACTGACCATACCTCTAACTAAAGAAGCTCCCCAAAAATCATCTTCAAAGACAGAGATTTTGAAATTAACCTGAAATTACTAATTAACGTAAACCGAAGATGAAAAATACAATTCTCTATTATTATTATCTAACAACGTCACATTCATGTATGCTTTCAAGTTCACAAAAATTTTGGATAATTAAAGATGAAAAAATGACTCCAAAAAACATCAATAGAAAATACAAAACTCAATATGAAACCTTAACAATTAGATGCTCCATTTAATTAATCTTGGCTTGTGAACATGAAAGAAAAGGAGGGTTTAAGTATTTCAACAGACACCTGATAACAAAGTGACCATGAAAATCAAGCATGTAAACAGAACGAAACATGATCTTCTATAATAAACATGGAGTATTAAACATAACATCCCAAACAAGGATCTTGAATATGTCTAGACAACTTATTTATAGAAAAGCTATATAATATTTTAACATATACATGCACACATAAATCCAAAAACACTCACACAGCACAAATTTATATGTCAAACTCAGGTTCAATTTTTCCCCAAATCAAACCAAATAGATGCCGGATTTTTCGTTGGTTTGATTGGATATTTTGGTTTGGCGTGGTTTTTCAGTTTTTGCTATACACAACTGGTTGCAAGCAACACATGAGTAGCAAAGGCCATTGATTCAACATTAAGAAGCAAACACCCCACCCAATTGCTTCCGAACAAGAGCTAAACTAGCAGTAATATAGACCAGTTTCAAGAAATGAGACGTTTAGTTGAGGATCCTCCGAGTACATAACATCCAATGTTATACGCAACAATAATCACATACATGAAGAACAATAAACAGTCGCTTCCTATACTACATATTTCAAACAAGCAAAATACTTGAGAATAATTTGTGCATTTTGCAAATATAATACAGCTATATTCTTAAGTGTGTACTCCTGAGCCAATCAAAATGGTGTTGTGCCACTTACACCAATAGGAACTGAAAACTTACAGCAGGATGCATCATATTCACTTGGTTTGAAACACATTGAAATGCTTTGAAAATTCCGGCTTCAAATAGGACTGCTCGTAGTACCTTCTTTGCCAAATAGTAACGGAAATTCATCATATTGTTCGGAGAAACCCCGTCTTTCACCCATGCTCTTAAGTGCTTCATAAACCTGATACATAGACCACCTGTCCTTGGGCCGAAAAGCCACTGAATTACAAGCAATTCTTAGAAATTGTACAATCTCTTCATCATGCCCCTTCCCACATATGTTCTGGTCGATTGCATCTTTAATGCGACCAGAAGCAGAGAGCTGATTTACCCAGTCCACCAAGTTACCCTTGAAGCCCTCTTCACCAGCAGTAACTTCAAGAGGTTTTTGTCCAGTAGCCAACTCCAAAAGCACTACCCCGAAGCTGTAAGCATCCCCTTTCAGTGAAGGCACCATTGTGCTAGAGTACTCCGGAGCTACATAACCAAATTCACCCAACTCCCCATTCACAAAACTAGACTCTTTTGCATCTGAAGGCGTCATCAGCCTTGCCAGCCCAAAATCCATTAATCTAGCATCCAAGTCTTCATCGAGGAAAAAAACATTAGAACATATGTTTTGGTGCAAGATAGGTGGGTGGCAACCATGATGTAACCAAGCAAGGCCCCTAGCAGCACCCAGACCAATTCTAAACCGAGTAGGCCAATCTAATTCACTTGCATTCCGATTCAAGAATGAAGACAAAGTACCATTCGACAGGTGCTTGTAAACCAAAAGCTTCTCCTCTTCAACAACACAGTACCCCAGAAGTGGCACCAAATTAGGATGCCTAAGTTGACTTAACCTATTCATCTCAACCCGAAACTGCTTCTCGCTCAGTTTGCAAGCATTAAGCCGCTTAATGGCAAGCGCAGAACCATCGCGTAACACAGCGTTATAAGTGGTCCCCGTTCTAGTCGAGTTGATAACATTGTCCCTGCTGAAACTATTTGTGGCGACCAACAAATCAACTAATCTAACCTTAACAAGCGGTTTCTGAAACAACATAACCTGAGTGAGCTTGTGAGCCCTCAGCTTCTCAGCCCAACTATCTGAGTCGTCGCCTCTACCAATCCCATACCCTTTCTTCCTCTTCCCGGCCTTGGTGAAATACCAATACCAGGCACCAAAACCCAACAACATAGAAGCAGCAGCACCAAAGACCCCTGCCGCAATAATAATAGCCAAGTTTTTCTTACTGAGTCCTCCACATTTCCCCAAAGGTCCACCACAGAGTCCACTATTTCCTTCAAAGTTAGCCGAATCGGCCGAGTCAAAAGCTGCCGGAATTCTACCGGAAAGTTGATTGTTTGCCACAGATAAAGTTTTGAGCCTACTGAAACTAGAAAATTCAGGGGGAATATTTCCAGAAAGTTTGTTATCATTGAGCATTAATTTATTCAAATAAGCGCATTTAACTAGATCCGCCGGGATAGAGCCAGAGAAATCGTTACTGGACAAATCTAGGGTTGTTAAAAAAGGGAGCCAAGTACAAATTTTCGAAGGAATTGGACCTGAAAAGCGGTTACCGGAAAGATCAAGGGTTGTTAAGCTGGCACAATACTCTAACGATTCTGTTACCTTCCCGCCGAGGTTCATGGTCTGAAGAGCGAGGCCGTTGATGCGATTTTCGCGTTCGTTCCAGCAATTGACACCTGCAAACTTGCAGATAGCGCCGACAGTGGAATTGGTAAAGTCCCATGAGTTCAGATTCCCGCTTGGATCTTCTAAGGATTTTTTGAACCCTTCTAAACATTTGAGATCATCTTCAACTACAGCAGCATCGTGAAACTGAGGAAATACAAGAACAAGCAGAATTAACAGAAATCTAAAACGAGTCATCGTGTAATTGAGCAGAGCCTCCTAGGGTTTTTAGGGATTTAACAGCTCTGTGTAATTGGTACGAGGTGTTTGATAATATGTACAAGAGAAATGGGCAGGAAATAGCAAAGCTAAGGAAGATGAAGACGGCTGAGGCATTGACTTGACAATATGAAAACCCAGTCTGTAATTACAGATTCTTTTTTTCTCTGTATTTTACTAGTATTGCTATTACATTAGTGGAGCCTTTTGGAGGGTGATACATTAATTAATGCATAAAGACAAATGGAAATTGTTAATGAATAAAGGCCAATTTTGACTATCAAAATGGCTTAAAGGAAGAATTTACAACTCTTTAAAGTATTGATGTTAGAATAAGTAAAGTTTTAGTCCCCTAAAAATTGGCTAGATAGTTAAAGCGTAGATTCAAATATTCTTGTTATATTCCGTTTATGGCTGCGCCTAGAATACCCAATTAATGTAAACTTTTTATTCTAAAGAACGAATTTGTTTATTCTACAAAATCTTTTTGAATTTTTTGGTTGACTAATACGAATGTACCCGCGTAGAAAAAAAAATTCCTTACCCAACAAAAGTTTATTCTTATAGTAACCTAGTGAGATATTTAGTTAAGAATCTTTAATTAAGAATAAAGGGATTCTATTCATCCCACCATAATCATTTACGATATTTTTGAATTATTGACTTTGACCTATATTACCCTATGAGTTATTTGTAGGGGTGGACCTTCGAGCAGTTCGGATTGAATATGAAAATCTCGGTTTGGATTTTCAATTTTCGGATTGAAGAAATGACAATCCAAATTCAATTCAAATAAGCTCGGATTGGACCGGATTTTTTAAGTTTAATTTTGGATTTTCGGTTTTGAGCTTATAAATTGAGATGTTTCATCAATATCCAAATGAAGTGCTTATGTTAAATTGCCACGAAAATTCTTCATTCTCACTGCAATTATCCAAATAAAGTATTCAAGCAATGAAATTATTATCAAGAAAATGCAACAGAAACATTAATACGGCTGATAATAAGTAGCAATAGTAAAATAATATCCAAATAGAAAGTATTCTCACAATAACTTAGTAATTAATATTGAATATATGAGATAATATCTAATGCGTATGGTGTTGAATTTATTACTACTGACATATGGATAATGGGCTAAATATAAAGTATAAAAAATTTAGCTTTTTTTGATATCCAAAAATTCGAAGCACTAAATCCAATATCCAATTCAAATCCAAAATTTTTAAAAATCAGATCCAAAATGTAATCCGTAATTCGAAAATCCAAACTAAAAATTCAAAAAAATTAGTTTTGGTTTGGATCTCGCATTTGTCCAAACTGTGTCCACCCCTATTATTTGGTACGTTTTAACACGGTATAAGCTTTAATAATCATTGAATTAATTGTTGAATCTATAATATATATAAAGTTAGGGAATAGAAAAGATGACTTCGCACTCTCTAAAGCCAAGAATCTTACTTATCTTTTTTCTCCTTTTTTTAAATTATTTTCCTCATCCATTCTATTAGTTTAGCTTATATAAAAAGTCTAAATTCTATATTAAATTCGTAAACGTTATGGTTCTTCTCCTCTTCCCTTTAATTAATTTTTTATGAATGTGCCTTATAACGTATCAAAAGTAGGAAATAAAAAGATAAGAACCAAAGCATCATATATATATGCTGCCATAGTAATTCTAATACATTACCTCTGCCAGGCTGAGTTATTCAGGTACGGTCCATCCTATTTAGTTTTGATTGTGCATTGGAAAATTTACCAGCGTATCTTCACTTAAAGTCCACCAATGAGGTTCACTGTATTTTTAGTTATTTACTTTAGTTGAACTTTATTTGTACGTGCCATCTTTTTAGCATTTCAAATGTACTCATTTTTCCGGGCAAAGATACGCCGACGTTTTTGTTAAAAAGTTTATACTTTTGGGTTCCATAATTGCTTCTTACTCTGTATTTGCTAAATTTTGTTAAATCGTGATATGCCACCAACATCAAGGAGCGCCGTACTATCAATGGTATCTACCTTAACGTTGGATGCATTTCTTCTAGGGTAATATATTCTTTTTTTGGTTAATTTCACTCTCGGAATTCATTTTCTACTCCTATTTGTATTATTTTTTTAATTTTAATATAAAATTCACAATATTTTTCGAGTAGATGTTCAGGAATTTGACTTGATGTGATTTTAGAAGCTGCTTATGAAATTCAATGATTTTAAAATAGAGGCAAAACCTTACTTCCCTAATAACAAATGCTGATTTGCCTAGCATTTGCTGTGAAATTGAAAATAAGTTGCATAATGGGACATTCTTTGGTTGGTATACATAGATTTATTTTTTACTATAATTACTATTTTTCTATTGATAATTAAATTTTAACATTTGCTAAAAGAGGAGTTGAATAAAGTTCTGATTTCGAAAAATGGGAGTGGTCCTGTGGCATATAATGGTAAAACTGTTGGTTAGGAGGAAATGTTGACTTGTGCTATACAGTTATGTTCCAAAGCTAATTTCAACTTGAGAAATCATAAGAAGTTTTTATTTTTATTTTTATGCATGTAATAGCTTTACCCAATTGCTTTACTTAATTAGGCTATCTAATCTTTTGTCTAGCAATTCAAAATAATGTTTAAATATTCTAGAAATTATGTATATATACAGATTGGAGTCATGCCTTAACTCCTCCATCATGATGATGGAACTATAAAGTTAAAAAAAGAAGAAGAAGATGTTCGTATGCAAGGAAAAGTTCTTTCTTTTTGTTTCTTTAAGTATTTCTTTATTTTCATTGACAAAGATTGGAATCTCATACGAAATTATGCTCATCTATTTAAGCTTTGCATATTCTTATTCTTATTGTTTTATGTTTATCGTTACGCCGAATAATCATCAACCAAACGTAATTCGTAAATTTTACTATTTTTGTGCTTGTAAGAGATTATCTTTTAAGACCGCGCGAATCGCGGACAAATTCCCTAGTTAAGTATAAGTGGAGGGAAGACTGATAATGAAAGCATAATGGAATGCGTAGGGTTTGGGGGAGGACGTTGAGTTTCACTCTAGAAGAAAACGACGGATCAAAACTAAAGCTAATCCAGCAATCGAATTCCAAGGGCACCATTAATTGTTTTGCAGAAACTTAACCAACACTATCCTTTACGTGGCTGTGTTACTGGAGACTTGCGGCATGTTTGGCCAAGTTAGAAAAAATCAGCTTAGTTTGAGAAGTGTTTTTTTAGAAAAAAGTATTTTTTTTAAAAGTAAAAAAAAACATTTTGTATTTGGCTAATTAATTTGAAAAACACTTTTAAATAATAATTTGTGTTTGGCCAAACTTTTGAAAAAGTGCGTTTTAAGTGTCAAATTATAAATAAGAACATGAAAAGATTTATTTAATAGTTAATATTATATAAGTAGATAAATAATTATAAATATTTATTATTAAAGATAATAATTAAATTTTTTATTTTGTTTAAGTAAAATACAAAAATAAAATTAAAAAGTACTTCATTTTTGCAAGATAATTTAAATATATCAAAAAATCATTTAATAAATATGAAAGTTTATCTCAAAAGTCATTTTATATTACTTAATAGTTTAAACTAAGTATTTGGTATATATAATATTTTGTCAAGTGTATTTTTTGGTAGGAAGAAAAGTCAAAACTACTTCTGCTTCTGCAGAAACTACTTTTTTCTGCTTCTTCAAAACTGCTTCTGCTTCTAGCCAAAAACACTTTTTTCCGAAAAAAGCTTGGCCAAACACATCAAATTGAGCAAAAAACACTTTTTTGGAAGAAAAAAAACACTTTTGGCCTGGAAGAAGCTTGGCCAAACAGGCTATTAAACTTGAGAGATAAAACTTGATTAGCTTGAGTACTAATTACACAAAGTACTTATTAATGATTTATATTATTAAACAAAAAGTGTTAGATTCATTTAATTTGTTACTTATTACAGATGGATAATGAGTTTAGTTAACGCTAATGTCGGATTTTCCCTATTAGTAAAAGTTAGCAATACTAGGCACATGGCTCTTATTACAGTTGTTGGATCACTATCTTATACAGTACTCCTATATTTACTTTGAGAAACGCTATTATATTTGTTGAATCTTAATTTTCGAATGAATTTAATGTTAAGGATAAGACTCCATTCTGCTGCTATACGCTCTACGAATCCTTTTAGTAATATTTATGTTCCTAAATATTGCAATGGCACGATATTAAATGTAAATACATATTGTAAATGCTTATAATATAAAGAAACCTCTAAACGATAGATAATAATCTCCTATGACCGGTTACGATTTGAACAAATATAAAAATTTACAAAGATCTCATGTTATTTCGTTATCTTCTTTTGTGTTATTCTATTGCTACTTTTTTTTTAAAAAAAAAAAAAGAATCATATTAAATTAACATTTTTAATGAGTTATAAATCGATTTCGTTTCTGGGGTTGTTCCGCATTTGCCCATAGTGGTCTAGTTCCATGTGGCCGGTGCAAATGTAGTTGGTGAAGGCGATGTTGTTCAGCTCCAAAAATTTTGGTTTTGACTTTTGACGATTCAATTTCGTTTTTTTTATCTAAATTATTTCTTATTTATAACCTCCCTCCCCCAACCTAATTTATGTGTGAATTTGGCCAACTTTCAAAGTTGATCGGAGTTGGATAAGTTAATCTGCATAAATAAAAATGTATATATTTGAAAAAAAACTATAAAACAAAAGACTGCGCGTTGTAATTTCACCCATTAAAATAACGCTGGAGCGCACCTTTAACTACTCGTTAGTGTCACCTAATTAAACTATTTAAAAGTGATAACCTCTTTGAGACACGAGCATTATAATATTAGGGTCTATTTAGAAAGTCAACTGTAATTATATGGGATAGTAAGTACACGATATAGTAACCGCAATGACATATTTGTTTGCTAGAACGTTTTAGGGTGTAATTTTTATTGTCATGTCTGGTTGGACAGTTATTACACAGTTAAATAAATGTTTTTTCATATTAACCTATCGAAATATATTAAATAATTATCAATTGACAAATAATATCTTAAAAATAGTAATTATCTTCCCATACCTAACACGTGAAATTATATTGAGATTGTTGTTCTTGTAAAGGCAGTAAGTATCTTCCAAATAAATAATATTTTAAAAAATAAATAATTATAAATTGGTAACGTATATCGGAAAACTATATTTTATCTTGACTATTTTCAAATAAATAATATATTAACTTAAAATAACTAATAAAAGTTTCAACTATGAATTTAAAATTTTACCAACTTATATGAGTAAATATGAAATTTATGATTTTCTACACTTTTTAAATAACAAAAACATAAATATGAGTTTAAAAGATTCTTTTATTAATAATGATTTTATACTAATAAATAGAAAACAAAGTTAGTAAAACACAATGTCACGCCGAAACCTTGGGAGGCGTGGCTGGCACCCGGTACCGCACTGGCCCCACCGAACCACTCTGCAACTTTTTTTTCTTTTTTTGAAACTATCATGGGCCAACATGGTCACAGCTCGTAATGTATAACTATAAGTGGGCAACATTATATCACTGAACCATTTTTCTTAAAACATGAATACACATGGGTCATCAAGGCCTCTGACATACTGTACAAAATGAACCTCTATCTACAAAGCCTCTAAGATTATTTGACATCAAATGGGACAGGGTACCGGCCTACCCATAAGTTTGTAGCAAAATTCTGACAAGAAGACACATAGACTCGGCTGCACTCTGAATAAGGTGGAGTCTTACCGATCCTTAGCTGAATGCTGACCTCATGTACTATGAGGGCTCGTCAAACTGATTGTCTATACCTGCAGGCATGAATGCAGCGTCCCCAACAAAAGGACATCAGTACAAATAATGTACCGAGTATGTAAGGCACATAAATAAGTATATAAAAGACATGGAAGAAACATGGAGTAAATGACTCAACCTGTAAGTCTGGATAACTTTGTAAGTCTGGATAACTCTGTAAATCATGAAATACTTATAGTGTCATACATATGCGTATGAATGTCATGTCGTGCATAGGTACATGTGTTCATAACATCATCAAGACTATGAGGACATCTCATAGTATCATCTCGGCCACTGTGGGCAAAATAATCAACGTATACCAGCTGATCAGGTGGTGGTGTGTATATAATGCAGTAACCTTTTTCCATATCCCTTATACATATATACGTGTATAAAACGCCATGTGGTCATGAGTCAATGCGTTAATAGGATTTTCTCGGAATGCCATAAAAATTAATATGTCTTTCGGATAAAGGTAATCAAATACGTATTTTTCTGAGACTCATGAACAGAAGATATAATAATAATTCACATAGGGAATCAAGAATATAGATACCTCTAGTATTTTTATGAATAGAGTCATTTATGAAAATTGTACCTTTACTCGTTTTGTTTGTGACGTATAGATCATGCCAAAAAAATAAGGGATAACCTTAATATAACCTGAGCCAATTCTCTTAACAATCCGTCCAAGAAACTCTTCTCTCCTTTCATCTATGTCCTTCATTTTTCAATTTCATTTGGTCCTTTTTCCCCTCCTTTCGTCTCCTCCCATACACCTCCTGTCACCCATGTGTCATCCACTCCCAATAACAGCTCGAAGCTCCAGTCAAACCATCATACCAAACACATATCCTCCTCTGCACATTCTGTCATAACATAGGCAACAATCTGAACTTCGAGAAACACAACAAGCTTTACATTATGCATATTAATTTGGTCACTCCCCTTAATCTATTTATCAATAAAGTGACATCATTGAAATTAGTCCTTATATTGTGAGAAACTAGAGCAAATAATGGACAATTGAAGAATTCAAGCTATCATCTATTACACAGTAATACTCTAGACAAAACAAAGCTACTTTCGAAGCTATAATAGGTCATAAAACCAGGACAAAGTTCTTAAATCTAGGCTGCCAACTATTTGACAGATGTTTAAAATTTGATAATCTTCATTTTGCATGAACTCCACGTATCCTTTTGTTGCCACGTAATTCCCTTGTAGGGGGTTAATCTTTATTTAGTTAGGTAATATTCTATTACCCAATAATTAACCAATAATCCACGTAATTAAGAATTATCTTAAATTACTTAAAATACTACTCACTTTTAGTACACTTTATATACCTCACTAACATGGTCATGTGGTACCATATAAAATTAATATATACACTATTATTTCATTAAAATATCCATATAAAAATATATATATTTTCTCAACTTATAATTTTCTTAATCTCATATAAAGAGTAAAAAATTTAGTACGCTTAATTCTTAAAATGGTAAAAAGATGATCTTCTTTTCTTGTGAAAAAAAAATAATTCATATCTTTACATTAAAGAAAATCTCACAAAACTTTCCCATATTTTGTGTATAATTTAAAGCATATTCAAAAGTAGTAATATTAATAACTATATAAAATCATATTGTTCAGACTTTTTTTTTTACAAAAATTTCCACTCAAAATATCATATGAAATGTATATAACGGTATCATATTGTTAAACTTACAGGGTCTTACAATAATAGTCAAAATCCTTTATAATCTCATGAATGATCTTAGTTAATCCCTTCAAGCTCATATGAATTACTACAACTTATCCTAATATTAAAGTACACGATGTAACACACAAAATTGTGTTTAGCAACTAAGAAAAAAAAAAGAAAAATATGAGAAGTTGCAAAATGATATGGAAGCACACCGTAAGAAAACATATTGGAAGGTAAAAAATAAGAATAAGAGAAATAGAAAATAAAATATTATAAAAAGAATAGTACTTAATGTATTAGAAAAATAAAAATAAAAAAGATTAGAAAAGTCACATTATCTTATAATTACACAACGTAATTACCACTAATTCTCATATTCCTCTTGAGAATTAGAGAGTGTAATTATACCCTCCAAAACAATCATGTTAAAATGTGCAATTACATCCAATTACACTCAAATTTAATTTCTAGGTGGGTTTCCAAACAGTCTCTTGCTTTTCTTTATTTTTACTATGAGTAAATTTTGTCATTTTAAGACTTAGCAAAGTCATAATTTTATGAGGCTACGGAAACTATAAGGGAATGTAGAATTTTTTAAAAACGCAAGAAGAACAAGTTAAAAACTTCTAATTAAGTCTCTAATTTAACTGTATTATACAGTCGAAACTGGAGTTTTAAAACATTTCTTCTTTTTTTCTGTTCTTTTTAAAAGTTTCTAGTTTTAAATTAAAAAGAAAAACCAACCTTAACTAGTGCACAATATTAACTCCTATATGGTTAGCTAGTCATAGATGATAGGATATAGAGTTGAGATACAGGGTGGTCTTGAATTGAGGTTGGGACAATTTGTCTAACTATAAATTCAGTTATACTTGTACATATTCACTTGGGATAAAATACTTTTGTATACGGTGGAAATCGGAGCTATCCGATTTCGTTCTTCGATGAAAAAGGTGATATCACGTCGAGAGGCCAGGACGCCGAGCTCGGGGTCGAGGCTCCTTTCCAATATCGAGGTCGAGGTCGAAATCATTTGCCGAGGTCGGAAGAAGGCATACCTCGAGCTAATACCGTTATGATTCAGTAACAGAAAGAGCAAGATACCCGCAACGGCCCGAAGGTCACGACGTAAATTGCAGAATGGATTGGCCCTTGGCAGTTAGACAACTGTCAAATATGATTTCCTACTGTAATTAGAAGTGTACCTTATTTAAATGAAAGATACATTTTTTGACTGATAAGAGAAAACATGCACTTTATTCTCTAGCTATTTTACTTACTGTTCATTAGAGTTGCTTTATAACTTGTTGTTCCCACTATTCCACATCGAGATTGTCATAGTTCGAGGTTGAGATTTGGCTTGCACATTGGTTTGACTTATTTTATTCTCCAATTTATATATTTAATTCCTTGTTTATCAATTGATATTGGATTAAATCACATATCCTTAAAACCAAAATATAAGTTTAATTGTTACTCGAATTTTATGGTAAACAGTTTAGCGCCCACCATGTGGCTAAGGATAATATTGATTGTTTCAGTGCTGATTCTGATAACACACGTTATTTTCACACTTGTTCATGTCAAGAATTTTTGTTCTCGGGTTAAAACATGTCAAACTCACAAAAACGCACCTGTACATAGTGTTGATTGTCTTGGATTTCACGGGGAAAACGATAACGTAATTGCTCCAGGAGCCGGGGTGCCACCGGCTAATCTCGGGGGAGTACCAGTCGTCGATCCAGTCTATATTGTCACACCTCCTTTTTGTGCGCCTACCCCGAAGGATAAATGCGTGAGGGAGTTTTTCCAATTTAAGTGATAATATTCGAAATGAAATTATTTATTTAATTCAAAGTCGCCACTTGGGAAAGGTTTGGCTTTTGGTGTCTCAAGTCACCGATTTATCTTGAATCCCAATTCGAGGAAAATATTCGACTTTCCAAATGAAGTCTGCGAACCAGAAATTCTAAGTAAGGAATTCTGTTGACCCGAGGGAAGGTGTTAGGCACCCACAGATCTCGTGGTTCTAGCACGGTCGCTTAAATTGTTATAATGGCTAAATATCTGATTTTAATACATGTTATAACTTGTGTGCTTTTATTGAGTTTAAACCGCTTTTATTATTATTATTTTTTATAGANAATCCCGTGGTTCTAGCACGGTCGCTTAAATTGTTATAATGGCTAAATATCTGATTTTAATACATGTTATAACTTGTGTGCTTTTATTGAGTTTAAACCGCTTTTATTATTATTATTTTTTATAGAATTGCAACGTCGAGAAAACGTATCTCAAACCTCGTCACAATCAATGTACCTGTGGTCATAGACACATTTCGACTCCGTTGAGATTTGGATTTAGGTCACATAAATGCGCACCCAAGTTTAGGAAAGTAATATTATTAAAAACGTGCCTAAAGAGACTAACACGTTATTATTTTTGGGGACGACCGTGAAATTCGCTAAACGGCCCATCCCAAGTTCTAAGTATTTAATATATACATTTATGAGGGCCTCGAGGTTTGTGCGTTTTATTCGGCGAGGCTCGTCTCATTTATTTTTAAAAGGATAATCTTAAAATGACTACATTTTCTATTTTTATTCGTCTCAAAAATGAAAGAAGAAATATATGCTAATTAAATTACATGCTTGGCAAGTTCGGGCCTCTTATCAATTATTAGGTTACAAAAGATGCTAACGCAAAATTGCGATCGAATTTGCTCAAAAGGAAATTGTTTCGTGTCTTATTCTATAATTGAACATTACCAAAAAATGAAATTATAAATAAAATATGGAATTGACAAACAATATTATCAAAACAAACAAATTAGTCTTTAACTAATTTAGACTTCACATTATTAGATGAATTGAATCATTGGAACTAATTATTTATTTTTTTAAAACTATTTGAAACTGAACCAACCTTGACTACCAATGCATACGAAAGTTGTTAAAACTTAATCGACACTTTGAAAATCTATTACATTTAAAGGAACTCTAACAAGCCTTGTTCGAAATCAACTCATGCCTATTAAGTTAATGACCTTAGCCTTACTACATCGAATCAAACTTCAAATATGGCAGACCTACTGATTCTGCGAAATTACTGACTTAGTATCCTACTTTACTAATTTGAGTCAACATTTAACATGCTTATTTTCAGATTATCACTACGGGATATTTAGGTTGAGGCATGCCATATTAAACAACACCAATAGTTTATGGCCCTCATAATTTTAAAATAAGAAGTTATTCGAACAATTAGATTTGAGGCGTGCCATAAACAAGATCAAGTAACCCATGACCCTCGTTTAATTAGTTTTAGCTCTTTAAAAATCGAGGTATGCTATCAGTTGAATTTTTCATGGCCCTCGCAAACCTTTTTATTAATTTGAAATTTCGTAGTTGCTTTAGGCGCGCTATTTAAATTGATTTTCTTTTATTTATTAATTTTGGGTGTGCATTTCATGTGATCCAATTTCAATTCTTAACAACGTTAAATAAAACGTGTCGCGAACCGCGGGTGCATTTCAATGTAACGTGGTTTGCGATATGTTTTAAATAACCTTGAATTAATTTTTAAATAAATAAAAGCAGTTTTAAAGTTAAAAGGGCATGTAGTTTTAAAATGTGTAATTAAATCAGATAATTGAGCCAATAATAATAGTTGAGCGACCGTACTAGAACCACGGAACCCGAAAATGCCTAACACCTTCTTCCGGGTTAAAAGAATTCCTTACTCGGATTTTTGTGTTCGTAGACCATAAATAAGAGTCATCTTTCCTCGATTCAGGATTTAAACCGGTGACTTGAGACACCATAAATTATCTCAAGTGGCGACCCTGAATTTTAAATAAAATAAATCTCGTTTGGATTGTCACTTTAATTGGACAAACTCCCTTATACCATTTGGATTTTTGTGTTCGCATTTGTCATTCCAGTCTTTGTAGTCAATGAAGTTTCATCCAAGCACTTATAATTATTTCAAATCAATATTTTAAACCCTCTAACTGCATGTGTTCTTCAAACGACGTGATGTGGATGCCACATTAGTATCCACATCAGATTTTCTTTATTATTTAATTTTTTTTAAATATTATTCAAAAATTATATTTTTTTCTTTTCCATCCTACCATCTCCTTCATTACCTTAATCCTCACTCACCATCTTTATTCTCCACAATTCACTACACATTTACCATCACCTTCAAAATAGCCCATTAAGTAACATTACAATGTTATGATACAAACAATGAGAGAAAGAATTTATTTAACTCTTGTTTTCCAACGGTAATCACTTTTTACTCTTCCCTTTTCTTTTTCTTTTTCAACTCAACTCTTAAAAACTGGCCCACCAACACCTGCA